TCATTTGTATGTAAAATTTTTTATATTCACAATAATATTTGTTTATCCTCTTTTTACAAGTATATAAAATTGATTTTATCACGCATCCAATAATCGTTTCGAGAGATTTTCTAGAAACGATTATCGATCGATCGATCGATCTTTCAAATTCAAACTTATTTTCATAAATTTTAAATGTCATTTTCCCACAATTGATTATGTCGATTAGTGATGGTGTTGATTTTAAAGTGCGATATACTCTAGTCTTTTTTTAGAAAATATCGCCCAAAGTTACAAGGTTCATACTCATTTTTTATTAAGGGACCTTTTTTACCTGTATTCTAATATCATTAGTGAATAATTACTACCCAGACACTGTTAATACTTTATGGTATTAACAATATCTGGGTAGCTTCAGGTACATTTTAGCAGTAGAGCAATTTGTGAAAGTGTTCGTCCAGAGAAGTACTGCTACCTTACCTACATATCCCAAGCAGTAATGCTCACATTACTGCGTTCCAGCTTAGAAGGATAAGGTTGCTGGTGAAATTACAGGCACATGGGACTTGTCAACTTATGTTTCAGGGTGACTGGCGCATTGGCAGTGCCCATAAGGTCTTCGCGATTTAAACCTGTGAGTGACACTGTAACTGTTATAAATAGGCGTGTCGCTTACCACCAGGCTCACAACGTGTTCGTACCGTCAGTTGGTATTATAAAAAAAATGTTTTTCTGTAATTGAATGGAGAAGTTCTAGTACAATTGTCACAGCCACTAATGAATAATCGGTATATTACAAGGGGTAGAAACAGAGTTTATCGTCATTCAAAATCGCTACAACGAATGGTCTTACGCTGCTTGCATCACCAGGTCACCAGGTCATCGGTTTATCTCGCGAGTGGTCTCCCTAATCCCAGAAATAGAGTTCAAATTGTACAGAACGAAGCTAACATGCAGAAATAATCAAAACGGCATATTTTGGCATAATTAGCATAATCGTCACTGAAGTTTAAAGATACGACTTTACCCTAAATAGATCATATTTTCGGAATAATTATAAGTTCTCTGTTGCTCGTTGTCGAAGACAACAACGTTAGAAAACAAAGAGATTCGAATTATCACATTTTGTTCAATCATACAGTACAGTCGGTACCCTAACATACACGACTCTTTAGGCAGTCTCTGTAGACCTTTCGTTTCTGACAGCCTTCTTACCTATTCAATAGAGAAGCGTAAAAGCTTTTTGGTTTAAGTTATTAATTTTAATGCAACGTAATTAAAGATCAAACTGGCATAAAAAGTTTCCAAAACGTACCTGGTCTCAAAATAGGGACGTCGCTGTGTTACGAGTACCAGAGTAAAGGAATTCATTCCGAGGCACTACTCTGAACATTCAGATCGAGCCAACTTAGAAATGTTTATTTCCCAAATTGGTTCTACCAGGAATTGAAATCCGGGACTTCCACAGCTAGCCGAAGTCGTCAAATTGGATGAGAGAGTCACGAGATCGGAAGGAATTGGGGGGATAGTGGTTGAAAATTATTTATTCGTATTTATAAAATTGTTGTCCAAGTCCTTGTTCTTGTTACTTCTATTTTATTAATATACTATTATTTTGATACTAATTTGATGATTATGACTGAAATTTAATGTTATTTTTTATAGATTATAGCTTACAAGTTTAGTTATTAAATATAATTTAATTTTATGTTATAACTAATTGCTGTGCCCTGCAGGGTTACATGGCTGTACTTATATTTACTCTAAGAACATGCATATTACCCATGTAATGCATTGAATAAATAAATAAATAAATAAAAAAGTTCTTCTCATGAACTGGTATCAACATTATTGGAATTGGATTTATTTGAAACAGAGTGATCAAAAACAATGTGTGAGCAATTACATTCTTGAATTGTCAGTCGAAAAATGACCAAGCTTGTACATCGAAAGACGACCAAGCTATAATTAGACATGTCCAAAAATAAAATCCCATTCAAACTAAGTTGATCCCTCCTTGTCCGGACCTTTTCAGTCGATAGACCCGGACCCTGATTATTTCACCTAACTCCGGTAAACCCACTTAGTATATGACCTCTCATTAATTCGCTGGGCTGCCTTAATTAGATTGTTGGTTAATATGCAAATGAACTTTGAAATTTATATTTTGCAGATGATTGTGCAGTTTTACGCACTTTCTGAGGGTAAGCTCGTTAGAAAGAAAATAAATGCTTTGTAATAGTATCGTTCTAGGTGGATATTTATTGTTCGTACCGCCTGCGCTTTATATGCACAAAGGGTTATCTATTAATAGTCCGAAATGACATTTGCCAGAAATAACGTTTGGTCGAAATTTCATAACCTCGAACGTAATTTTGAGAGGAAAATGTTTTTTCTTTTCGACCTAACTTAACCTAACCTAACTGAACCTAATCGTGTCTTTGCGATAAACATTCAACATATCCTGAAGGAAGAACTGTTTCGTTATAATTCGGTTTTCGGTGTAATGAAAATTCGAACAAACGTTATTTCGGACAAAAAAAATTTCGGAAGCGGCGGAGCGGAGTGGAATGGAAGCTTCCATTCCGTTCCGCCGCAATATAAATAGAGCCTTAGAATATTATGTTAGCATAATCCAGATACGTAGCTTGTAAAAGAACTACGATATATCGCACCCTTGGTGGCTAATAAGGAGCCATCTGCGAAAAGGCAACTTTTCAGAATAGAGGTTTAAAGATTATACGAAAGAAATTATAATTTTTTTTTATGTTTAAAAACTTTCACACATACATAATTTGTTACGTGTAGTTTATTTTTACGTCTTTGAAGAGATAAAAGCAGTTTTGACTTATGATCAAATGTGCTACCAATATTGTACGATATATCATCCACCTTGTGTCTGCCTTTTTTCATAGACAATAACTGTATTGTAACTGACATTGGTTGCACTTGACAATCTTTGTCTAGTTGGGTACAAGTTAAAAAAAAAAATGTCTAGTGTCGTCTTCCAGAACTCTACTCAATGCTCAAGTCAGGACTTGAGCATGAGTTAAAGCACTAGAAATCATTCTCAAGCCCTTGCAAATAGGGACGTATTTTCAGTGCTTTAAATCATACTCAAGTCCTGACTTGAGCATTGAGTAGAGTTCTGAAATACGACCCTTAGTGTAGGATTGTACACAGTGTAGTTTTATGCACTTTCTTTTAGAGTTTTAGACGACAAAGACAACAGATTAAACCAAAATAAATGTAATCAGTAATCAGGATGTGTATGAGTGTGTAAATATTTTTCCTTCCTTTTTCAAATACTGCGTAGATCTTTGGTGGCGTAATGCACGAGATAAGTATAAAATAAACAACTTATGCAAAGCACTAATATAATAACCGTTTTGCTTTCCATAAAAAAAGTGCGTGGTCATTTTATTTTTTTCTATGGAAATCTGAGTTACTTTTTCGCTCATGTGCATATAACGATTTTTCTGAAGTTGTTAATAAAATAAATTAATTAGATAATAAAAATTTTCTCTGTGTGCAAAGATCTACTCTCTAAAGCGATTATAAATAGGCAAATTTACAGATTTCATTATTTCTTTTATGACGAACAAAAGTATAGTGTATATATTACAGACTTAAATTTAAAGGCCCATTTCTCTAGTTTTATTTTATGGCTATAGCCAGTAGCAGACAATAAAAAATATGGCGTGACGATTCTTGTGCCTTTCTGCGTGTTTGGCCGGAAACCGCGGAAGATTGTAATCTCCCGGGGGAAATTTGTGGAGGATATCTTTGCAGTGAAACAATATAAACTGGTTAAAAAATATATATAACACTCCAAACTAATATGCTAATACCTACTATAGCTTTCAATGTCCCTTTGTATTCGCGTCCCGGAAAAAAAAAATCAAGACTCGGTGCGGTTTTGAGAATTCCAAATGTCATCAAGTGACGGAACGAATAAGTCGTGGGCTGGGTGGTAAGCAATACGCCTGTTCATAACAGTTGCAGTACCATTCAGAGCTTTAAATCACAAAGGCCTGAGGGGCACTGCTAATGCGCCCGTCATCCTGAGACTTCAGTTGATAAGTTCCATTCACCTGTAATTTCACCAGCACTAATAGAAACGCAGTAATGCTCACATAATGACTTGGCGGCAGAAATAGGTACGGTGGCAGTACTTACAATGGACTAATTATTTTACAAATCCTCCTACACCTGGACCGTCTATTTTCTTACAGTATATTATGATATCAAGTAACGGTGTGCATTTGTTAGACGCCTGCTCGCCTACTCATAGCAATTTCAGTTCAATTTCAGGAAATGTGTAGAGCAGCGGTGAGGTCCGCGGCTGTGCTTCTGAACTCCTGCATTTCCAATCGCGCTGCTTTCATTTCCTCTCTTAACAGACGTATCTCACTGACAATCTCAGGTGGCGGGGATTCAGCAATGGACATTGCTATGGATAGCGGTGAAGTGTCTAAGTTCTTAGTCTTGGTAGCAGGTCGGTTACGCTGTGTGACATTAAAGTCATCTAAGTCAATACAAACCACACTAGCTCACATTACTGCTTGGCGGCTGAAATAGGTACGATGGTAGTACTTTCCTGGGTGAACTCCTTCACAAGTAGTTATACTGATACTAAAGATTGTAGTGTGTAGTAAAATACATTATTAGATATACGTTATAATCAAAAAGCAATGTATAGTTACAACCCAAAATAAATACGACCCTGCAGTCCACAAAATAGAGCTGTTGTTCATTATGCATTAATCAAATAGCACAAGTACAAAATCTTAATCTTCCACACAAAAAGAAAATTAAATTTATGCAACTGATTTACAGAATTCTGTAAATTAGTAGTAGGTATGTAAGTAAATCCAAATTCGGAGTCACTACATGACATAAACATCTATATCATGGAGAAAGGTAGGCCCGCAATTTGACAACGCAGAAATGACCTTTTTAGTACACCTGATATACGGGCAGAATAAAAGATTTGAGGTATAAATTTATGTTGGACTTACCTCTCCCAGCTAAGGCGGCGAGGTGCATCAGAGGCTGCCTCTTCTTGCCCTCCCCGTACGCCTTGCGTGAGCAGCCGAGCTAGCCTGGACCCGGTCGAGCTACCTGTGCTCGATACCGAACTGCGTGGTGTTGGGACTCTGCAAGTAATTTATACTTTTCAAAATTCAAATAAAATAATTCTTTATTAATATTTTTTTATAAATAAATAAATAATAATGAATATTTTACACACACACAGACACTTGGTGGGTGCTGGGGAATGGCCAGCGATAACGAGGCAGATCAAAAAGGAGATGGCGGGATATCTTGGACGCATTTATAAAAGACTGGCCTGACAACGCATTAAACAGAGAACTGTGGAAGTCGAGAGGAAAGGCCTTATTAGGGTTACCTATCACAAGCTAGAAACATGATTTTTTTGTTTCTCTGAAAATCTTTAAATTTTTATTGAATAGATTTTCCTTCATTTGTCCCAAAACACGTTACGGTTTTTTTCATTACACCATTAAATGTTTCACTATTTTGACATATTGACAAGTTATTCTTTTCCCGATTTTTATTTCCCCATCAAACCGTTTCACCAATGCATCTAATTGAATATATTTATTTTGTAAAAAAACGATATCCATGATATATTTTTGTTATATTATTTCTTATTACAGACATTAAAAGTATTAGAACGTGTCGCATAATGCAACTCGTCAAATTAAAGAGGTGGTTTAATTAGACAAGTTGTATTTGCGACACGTTCTTTAGAAAATATGGTAACGCGATGCAACTTAATTTGATCGAGATGTAGTCACTCGCTTCGCTCGTTTGGATCGTGCTGCTTTTTCATATAGTAATCTAACCTAAACCTACAGGAGGGGATCGGACCGTCCAGGTAACGCAAACGAATTCGGTTGGTTTTCGGAGTAATGGAATTCGGAAAAAAGAAATTCGAGTTTGTGATAGGGTACCGCACAGACCACATAAATACTAGTATGTTACCCTTTATTAGACAGCGCATATGTTGCTCTGATCCCAAAGTAAGTAACTAAAGTACTTCTGTTATGAAAATCGGAAACAACGAGGGCACCACAAACACACAGACCCGACATAATATACACCAGTTAGTGTTTACATTGACCCGGCTAGGGATTGAACCGGGGGCCTCAGAGATGGCGACACCATATAAACCGTCTTGCAAACCACTCGACCACGGAGGTCGTCAAAAATACAACCTGTTATTCTATAACTACTAACCTATGAAAGAAAACAAAGTACCAAACGAAGTACGGCTTATATATAATAATAATAATAAACCATTTATTTCAGGCCATAGCATAGCCCATAAGATAATGGTGTTAGTTACAAAAGAAAACATTAGAACTTATATATATATGTATACTAACTACTACTACTACTACTAACATAGTTCTAAGTTCTAATATTATATATATATATATATATATAATCTTGTGATATTTCACTACCATGGTATTCATATAGGTATTTTTTTGATAAAATACACCACTCGATTGTTATTATTATTGATTCAAAGATTAACAATACAAAGAAAAATTCCTGTGAAATGCCGGGGACAACGCCTTACCAACTGAGCTACAGTTCCCATTTCTTTCTACACAGATTTTGATTATAGTGGCCCTCCCTACCGACTCTTAGGTATAAGAGAAGTGCACTAAAATTGTGCAAGCACAGGGACCTTCTAAGTTCAGGTTGACCTAACCCCGGATCAGTCTGTGTACAGGGTTGTCACAGATCGTTGTCACTGACTTCATCTGGGGTGGGCTGGGCTTCAGCAAGGGGTGAGCCGCCCCGGGTGCACTCTACCCTCCCTATTTACCCTATATACCAACTGAGACACAGACCGAGTCAATTCATCTTACGAATGTCGCTATGTGGCAGTTAAATGTTTGTATTGCTTTTGACTAGCTTTTTTGCCGTCACCGCCACCTGTGAGAAACTTGTAAAGTGCCATCATACATATTAATGTAATGTTCACTTTACATCGTTTTGTTCATTTTTCTGAGTTAGAAAAGTACCACCAACACGTCTGTAGTTAGTACCTACATATTATGTATCGATTTGAAAGGACGACAAACGTGTAGGAAACTTTAAAATCTTTAGTAAAGTGGACGCCGTTATTTCAACACGGCACAGGTTTAATAACGTTCCTTCCTTCAAAATACTTTTCTTTCACGCTTTCACTTTTAATATATAAAAAAAAAGAAAATACATTTCCGAAGTTTACTGAGTGCCGTAAAGAAAACAATAATTAATTACGCTATGTATACATAATACTGGTTGTCCGACGGCTTTGGGACACGGTGGGAAAGTATTTAATTATTGTAAGTAGGATATTTTCCCGTATTTTATTTTTAAAAGTAAATAATTTTGCATTCAAAGACTCTAAAAAAGTTGCTTGCCTCACCTGGGAATAGAACCGACTAAATGTACGAATAATCTCAGTACGTGGAATTACATCTATTTGCCAAGTTTTTTTGAAATCGGTTACCGGAAAGTGCTCAAACCCGGATTCATCCCCTAGTTCGCCACTATACGGAACTTGACACATGAGATAATAAAAATCGGTTCTCACTGCTCGAAGTATATTGAGAGAGCAAAACGCCTTGAATTAGAGAATAGCTAAATCAACCATTAAAATAATTACTCCTTAGGATAAAATTCAGGTGCTATTTATAAAAATGAATCTTCATGCGTGAGCAGCCACCCTCAGAGGTGGATGATTTTGAAAATGAAATGAAAATCAAATGGGACCACTATGGAGGTACCTTCTTTCCAACAAAAAAACATCATGAAAATCGGTGCACAAATACCGGAGTTATCGTGTAACATACAAAAAAAATATACAGTCGAATTGAGAACCTCATCCTTTCCTCTTCTTCATCTTCTTCTTTTAAATAAAGATACTATTTTACTTGCAAGGACTTAATATTTATAATAATCATAAAAAGATGCTAATCGATTAGATCCTTAATTGAAGGTTTTTAACTTAAAGGTGTGTTTTTTGACGCAAGCAACTTATTAAAAGTATTACTCTATTCAAACAGAATGTATACAGGTTCTTAAAAATAAAACAATAGTAACTTTTTCATTGAAAAAAAAAGCTGACCTCAAAAGTTGGCTTGTCGGCTTTGTTTGATTTCCATGGGATCCCCTCATCAGATTCTGAATTCTTAGTGATAATGGGACTGTTACGGAGTCCTTTGTATATTTTATATTTTCTTTTCTGGTTGTCATGCTGACGGTGATTTGTTGATTAGAGGTATTGTGTCAAGTGAAAAGTCTACTTTTATTTGCGGAAAATAATTACTGATTTGTGACAGTCGCAACAAACCTAGAACAGCATCAAGGACCACCTCGAGAGTATATCATTTCAAATAAAAAAAGAATTTTCAAAATCCGTCCGTATATAAAATCCGTGCACAATTGATAGATAAATTGGTGAACACACGGACATGACTATAAAATTTCTGGATTTCCTTCGATTTTCATGGGATCCCCTAATCAGATTTGATTTGGTGACAATGGGACCACCACGAGACGAGTTTAAACAAACAAGAATTTTCAAAATCGGTTCACAATTGACGGAGATATCAGAAAACATACATACAGCCGAACGGATAACCTCTTCTTCCTTTTTTTTTGAAGTCGGTTAGAAAAGTATTCAAGAAGGAATATATCCTAACTACAATATTTAAATTGTAGTCACATGTGTCAATTAATTCAAAATAACGAAATAACACACTAGCTGTCCTTTGTTTCTTATAACTGATTAAACTATGCAATAACGTTACCGTCGTGTAGATTCACACGATGCACGTATTGTTCACACAACTCTCGTAAATTCGCCTCTATATCCAATTGCAAAATTCTGCGGACGACTCAAGCTAAAACGAATCTATTCATTTTTGAATATTCTTCCACTTCAATTGTTTTTAATGAAAAAATGAACTGATGGTATCGAATTGCGTCCTAAATGGATAAAGTCCGAAACTTCAGATTGATAAATAATTCAAGGAGCATCGTAAAATAGTATCGATTGAGAAATTGTGTTACACTGTCCCGGTGCCAAAGTATCGTAAAATTAAAAGATCGTATGTGATTGGTGTAACATACGAATATAAACACTGAATTGTTGGCGTAAAGCTCGAGATTAAGTTGTTTTTTATTTATTTGTTTTACATTCAGGTTTTGCCGCAAGATAGTTCTTTCTCTGTTTTAGTAGAAGTCGAGCTTCTTGTGAAAGAGTTCGTCCTGGGAAGTACTGCCATCTTACCTATTTCTGCCGGCAAGCAGTAATGTCAGCATTACTGTGTCCCGGTTTTGAAGGGTAAGGGTGCTGTTGGGTGTGGCTGGTGAAATTACAGGCACATGGAACTTGTCAACTTATGTCTCAGGGTGACGGGCGCGCTTTGCGATTTAAAGAGCTGAGTGGCACTGTAACTGTTATAGACAGAATCAGAAACAGAATTTCTATGAAAGAAGTCCGCCAGCGTGGCAGACTTTGGCCTAAACTCTCGCTTGAGTGGAGACCCGTGCCCAGCAGTGGGGCGTATAAATGGGTTGATAATGATGATGATGATGATGGTCCACCGTGCACAATGTGAGTGCAAAACATTTCAACACACCTTCATACCAAAATAGTACCTCCAATTATTTCCTCCAATTAATATTAAATAATAAATCATGTACCTAGATAAGTACATATATAAATAGCTCCGAAATAATAATAACGCTCTAATAGTTGCCAAAATAACACGAATTCTCAGAAATGCAAATGTGTGTTATTTCGGTCTGATCATAAATTTACAATGGCATATCGCTCTCGGCTGATAGCTTTGGATCATCACACTCAATCCACAGCCCGGTAAAGTTGTTCGCACATTTGTACATTGAAAATTCGCAGCAAATAACCGAGCTCGAGCGCCCAGCATCCGCGTCACACACGTCGCATTTATTACGTATATTTTTCCTGTAATATGTGGTGAAAATTTAAAGAACCTTGCGAATTCAGAAAGCCTTGCATTGTACCTAGTAGACCTATAACAGCTAGTATAATTGGTATAATAATTGATGCTTCATGGAACTAGCCCTAACTAGATGCCGTATC